TTGTTTATGCTGTTGCTTGTTCCTCTATCTTAGCCGCCCGCACCGCCGAGACGGGCAAGCCGCTGCCACGCCCGCGGTTCTGGATCCACACTTTCGACTTTCGGTTTTTAGTAATTTGTTGTGTGAGTTCTGTGCTTTCAAACAGAGTACAATTTCTGGATCAAAAAGTACATCGGGGCGAAAGACTACCCCCGCAAGCGGTCGGGATCTCTGGAACCGCCGATTGAGACAACCAGAGCGCCAGCCCTGGGGCCCAGCACATGCTCTGATCCATTGGCGGCGCCCGCAATGGATGCGACGGGGACGTTTCATATTTTCAGACCTCCCCAACCGCCGTGAATTTGGGACCAGCTTTGGTTTAACACAAAGCGCGCCGAGGTTCCGAGGTGAGTGTCGATTAATAAACCAAACGAGTCGCACGTTACGTTTCGTATTCGCTGAGTTTGTTTAAACATGGTTTGGCTTCGCATTTCTATTTCGTTTATGCTTCAAAATTAACAGCGTCCAAAAACAATAATGTTATTGAAACCCGCGGGACTGGACGTGTTGTGTATATCAGCCCGCTGACTTCACCCAAACTGCGTTAACAGTATGTTTTGCGTCGCAGCGCGCCGGGCGGGAGGTTTTCGTGTCCAGGGGCGTCGGGAGGTTTTTTCCAAACATCGCGGCGGGAGGTCTTTGTGTCTTGGGGGCCCTCGCTGGGCCTCGGGACTGTCAAAAGACGGTTCGGGATGAGAAACCGGTCCCGGGCAAAGGGTCGGGATTTCCAAGGACCGCGCGTTGAACAAATTCCGACATTGCATGTCTGGGGAAAACAGTTTGAAGGTCGCGGGCCTTCTCCATGATCGAGACTCCTTGCCTCCCGGCCCCACTCTTGCCACCGTCTGCGGGCGTCCAGCAAGGAGGTCGCTGGAACTCGAGGGTCCCGGCAGGACCGGCAGCCCCAGAAGTTGATGGACGGCGGGAGGTCCAGGAAGGCGTCGTGTTTGGCCTCGCCGTGGAGTTTTGACGCGATCGTCTTCGGCGAATGCATCACTTTAGATGCTCGTTTTCGGGACCTGCCTGGGGTCCACCTGACGGGTCTGCTCGACTGTAGTTGGATTCCAGCTCGAATCAAGCATTCTTCAAGTTCGATTCAAGTCGACGGACGTTTGACGCGGCATGGACGCATGAGTGGAGCGAGTGGCTCGAGGAAGGTCCCCAGAACGAGCATCTGAATCACGCCGTGGCTTGACATTTCCGTACGTCTTCTGTGCGGACGTTGTGGCGCCTTTCTGTTTTGTCGCCGTTCCCTACCGCTCTGTCTGGCTCGACATGTTTCAAGGCCCTCATGGCCAAGCTTTTGCATGTCCTTCCCTGGGAACAGGCGTGTGAATCGCAGCGCATGTGGCCTTCCCAGACTGGGCGGATCGACAGGGAACACGCATCCCCAACGTTTCGCGTATCGCCACCGTGGCATCATTTGGATATCTCGGGGAGCCTCATTGAACTAGAGGCCTCTTGGATGCCTCTCGGAGTTGCTTGGGATGTCTCCTCGGGGGCTCTTGGTGGCCTCTTGCGGTTTCTTGGGGGTCTCTTGAGGGCCTCGTAGGGGCCTCTTGGGGCCCTCTTAGGGGCCTTGGGGGCTTCTTGGGACCATGTTGGAGGACATCGATTGAAGAAGGAGGGACCTCCAATTAGGGCACCCCGTCGCCTCCTAGCGCCCTCTTGGTGCGCTCTTAGGGCGCTGTCGGGACTGTCGTGGAGACCTCTTGGGCCCCCCCTGGAGCCCCCTTAGGCCATCTTGGAGCCATGTTGAGCCTCGCAAGGCCATCAGAAGCGAAAGTATGATAACGAACGTCGCAGTCATTTCCTTTGAGTTTTGAACGGGTGTTGGCCTCTTTGGGGCTTCCTGGGGAAGCTACATAGCCACTTGGACCCGTTTTGGAGCGGTCTTGGGACCTCTTGGAGTATGGTGGAAGCCATCTTGAGCCACCTTGCGCCACCTTGAGCCATGTTGGAGGCTATCTTGGGCTATCTCGGGCCCTCTTAGAGCCATCTTGGGCTATCTTGGGCCCTCCGACCAGTTGGCGCCCCTCCTGCAAGCCCCAGGGGTAGGGTGTGGGTGAGGGGTCAAGACTCTTGTCCCAGACGCCAACTGTTTGGCTCACTCCCGCCCGCCCTCCCAACACAAAAACAGTACCCGAGGCTCAGCAGATTCAGCTGTCGTTTTTTGATGGCAGTTACTGGGCAACAATCCAGTCCTTGAGTGCGCGACGCTGGGGCGAGGTGCGCCACGCGTGACAAGCGCGCCACGCGCACCAGGTGCGCCAGGCGCCCCTGGAGCCTGAGCGTGCCACGCACGCCTGGTGCGCCAGATGAGTCAACGTATTCCACGTGCGCCAAGTGTGCCGCATGCTCCAGCCGCGCCAGGTTGGCTTCGTTCGGGGCATGCGCAGAGTGTGCCAGGTGCGCCCGCGCACATCATGAAATATGTCGGCTGCCACCATGCTTGTCGAAAACCAATGCGCAATCGCGGCGGAGTGGCCATCATGATGTCCAGTGGACGTGCGCACAGCAGGCAATTTGCTAGCACCTCGCCGTCCCTGTCAAACATCGGCGTACAGTGTTCGCGAGTTGCCCGCGAATGATTCAGATTTAGCCGCGAAGTGCAGTTTGAATTGTTTCTTGACAGGGATGGTGGCCCTGCTGGCCCCCTCCCGCCGTCCCCGTCAAAAATGATACAAAGCTCTCGCGGCCCCCGACCATGACCCAATCTTTTGACAGTGATGGTAGGGGGGGCGCATGGTCCCAGGTTTTTGACTGGTCGGGTGGGGGAGGGGGTGTATATAGGCATGGAGCAGAGATCCAGCTACCCAAAATTGGAAACCGTGTCGCTCACCCCCACCAGCCCTCGCAACACACCAGTCGCATACAAGCCTTGGCCCCGATACCATTGAGTTCATGAGTCCCGTCGCGTCGGGAGCACAGAGCAGCAACGTGCACTTTGTTTGGTTTTTGTCCAGGATCGTAAGCCTGCACCGGGCAGCCAATATGAGGACGCCACCTGCCGCTTTTTCTTTCAAACATTATCCTGGCGAAGGGCTCAACCATATGCAGCTGTGAGTACCGCGTTGTGGGTACCGCTCTCGGTGGAACCCCCCTATGGGGCCACGATCCTCTTGAGGGGTGTACCGAAATTGGCGGGGGGACGCTCGCAAACCCTGCCGCTGGGGCCTTCGGTGAAGCTCCCTGCGGGGCCACGATCCTCGTGATGGGTGTGCCGAACTGTACTGGGGGACGCATGCAAACCCTGCCGCTGGGGCCTTCGGTGAAGCTCCCTATGGGGCCACGGTCCTCATGAGAGGTGTGCAGAAATCAGCGGGGGGACGCAATCAAACCCTGCCGCTGGGGCCTTCGGTGGAGCTCCCCATGGGGCCGCGATCCTCGTGAGGGGTGTGCCGACATGGGCGGGGGGACGCATGCAAACTCTGCCACTGGAGCCTTCGGTGGAGATCCCCATGGGGCCGCGGTCCTCGTGATGGGCGTGCCGAAATGACAGGGGGGACGCAATCAAACCCTGCCGCTGGGGCCTTCGGTGGAGCTCCCTGCGGGGCCACGATCCTCGTGAGGGGTGTGCCGACATGGGCGGGGGGACGCATGCAAACCCTGCCGCTGAGGCTTTCGGTGGAGCTCCCTGCGGGGCCACGATCCTTGTGAGGGGTGTGCCGAAATGGGCCGGGGGACGCATGCAAACCCTGCCGCTGGGGCCTTTGGTGGAGCTCCCTGTGGGGCCGCGATATGGGCGGGGGCACCCATGCAAACCCTGCCGCTGGGGCCTTCGGTGGAGCTCCCTATGGGGCCACGATCCTGCTGAGGGGTGTGCCGAAATGGGCGGGGGGACGTATGCAAACCCTGTCGCTGGGGCCTTCGGTGGAGCTCCCTATGTGGCCACGATCCTCGTGAGGGGTGTGCCAAAATGTGCGGGGGGACGCATGCAAACCCTGGCTTCTTGCGGGGCCGCGATCCTTGTGAGGGGTGTGCCGAAATGGGAGGGGGGACGCATGCAAACCGTGCCGCTGGGGCCTTCGGTGGAGCTCCCCATGGGGCCGCGATCCTCGTGATGGGTGTGCCGAAATGGGAGGGGGGACGCATGCAAACCATGCCGTTGGGGCCTGTCCTGGATGGCGTTGACACATGCGGAACCTGCCACTGGAGCCTTCGGTGGAGCTCCCTATGGGGCCACGAACCGTGTGAGAGGTGTGCCAGAGTGGGTGGGATGATGCTTATGATGACGATGGCGATGACGAGGCGGATGGGAAGAGGGAGGAGGGGGAGGAGGGGGAGGAGGAGGAGTGGGAACGCGGGGCGCTGTCTTTTCAAAACGTGGACCCAACACCACAGGATGGTTGGGAACTGATGAAACGTGATCGTGGGGCGCCCGCGCGTGAACCAGCGTGCTTTTGCTGTATGTGTTGACAGGGATGGTGAGTCTGCGCAGAGTTGACATTTAAAGGGCACCGACTCCGATCAGATCAATAACTCATGCAAAGGGCTCACAGAGCGTCCGCGCACGGTCGAGGTTTCGCCGCAAATGTGAGTTCCTCCCCGCCGTCCCTGTCAAAAACCAATGCAAAGTGCTCACGGGGCGCTCGCGCCTGGCTCAAATTTTGTTGCAATGTGCACTTCTGATATGTTCTGACAGGGATGGCACGTCGGTTGGGGGAGGAGGGTGTTTGTTCACCAGGAGCTATGATCAAGCTACTCTGCCCCCGAAGGACGGTCGCGTCGCTCTTTCCCGCCCGCCTTCCCGCCACGTGGTACTCGAGTCTCAGCATGGGCAGGGGCCACCATTGACTTGACCGCCATCGGGGATTCGTGCAAACGCCAGCCAGGTGCGCGACGCCCGCGAGGTGCGCTGCGCGTGCCAGGGACCCCCCCTGATCAACCTCGTCAGATAACAGTGCAAAGCGTAGTTTGCGTTGTGTTTTGACGGGGATCGTGAGCCTGCGCAGAGCGGACAACGTGAGGGCCTCCCGGCCGTCCTCGTCAACAGCCCATGCAGAGCGATCACGGGGCGTCCACGCACTGACCAGACTTTCGCGCACAGCGTGCTTTGGACAGGGGGTGGAGGGCCTGCACAGCGCGGACAACGGAAGGCCACCCCCGCCGCCCCTTGCCAAAGACCGATCCACAGTGCTCACGGGGCGCCCGCACCCGGTCCAGATTTTTCCGCACGGTGCATTCTGCTTTGGTTCTTGACTCTGTTGGGGTGGCGGGGGGGTCGTCATTGGCCTGGCTCTGTCGCCGGTCGGGTGGGGGGGGGGGGGCGGTTATGAAGTTCACAAGGAGCGGGGGTGAAGCTCCCCCCCCCCCTTGACGGACGGCCGCGTCGCTCACTCCCGCCCGCCCTCCCACCGCATAAGCATCACGGGAGCCTCAGCATGAGCATTCGGCCGGCATCGGCAGTCATCGGGAGCCAATGCAGACGCCAGACCGGTGTGCGACGCCCGCGAGGTGAGCTGGGCGTGCCAGGGCATCCCCATATCATTCTTCTCAAAGAACAACTTGCGGAAACCATGGGGCGGGGCGACGCGAAATGGGTTGATTTGGTGCAGCACTCTTCGGTGGTAGTCTGGCTCCCCTCCGACTCGAACGCCCTCACCAGATGCCTGGCCGCTTACCTCCGACGCTTCGCTGCAGTACCAGAGCCGCCCAAGGTGATCATGATCACACCCATCCCCAACATCACTGGCGAACTCAGCGTGGACGGGATCACGGATCTTTGGAGTTCCTCGATACTTTCGGCTACGTGGACCTCGTTCGTCAAGGAGGTGGTGTACATCCCGTTCCCCTTCGAGCTGCTCTCCACGGCCAGCAATGGCACGCCGAGGCACTTCAGGAAGGGCCTGGGCATGTTCTCCCTCCGCCAGAACGGTCCCGTGAGTCCCCCACGCATGCTCAAGGTCGACGCACTCTTCGCAGTTCCGGGGCACCGGGTCGTCGTCGTCGACATGCGCATCGAATTCTTGACGGACTTCTTGCAGTATTTGCGTGCGCACATACTTTCAGGGATCTCCTACCGCTTCCACAAGCGCAGTGCCGCTAGTACGACCGAGTGCCCACGGATTACAGTGGAGCTCATCATGGAGGGGGACGCGACTGACATCGAGAGCATGGCGATTATGAAAGAGCTCCGCCGGCAGCACCTGCCCCCGGACACGTTCTACGCTTTCAAAAGCATCGTGGGAGCCCGGGATTCGTTGATCCTCGAGTTCGGCAGCCCCGCCTCCCTCATCTCGTTGTGGCCGTTTTGCTCCCAGCTCTTTGTCCTCGACCGTTCTCGGGCGCTGCTCTTCACGGAGGCGGCTGCCGACATTTGGAAGGACAAGATGGACGAGCTCTTCCGTCTGGACGCTGCTGGGGCTGCGTCCCGGCTGCGCTGCCGGCCCTCCTTCCA